GAAGCGACGTTTGAGGTCGCGAGCTCCAAGAAAGGGGTGACCCATAAGGTTTGGGTGCATCTCAAGGAGGAGACAGCTGCCTGTGGCTGTCGTGCTTACCTGGCAGAAGGACGCTGCGGGCATTGCGATGCCGCAATGGACACCGCTCGTTCCTTAGGGTTTTTGCACGCGGCCCAGCGAGGCGCGGGTCCTGCGCTCACAGACTCCATTCGGAGTACCGCCTCCGATGCCCTAGCTAAGGGTAAGGTGGTGTTGGGTTTGGGGAACAGTGAAGGGTGTTTCTCCCAACTCGCGGCCAAGAGCCGCGGGCTCTCCTGCTTTCAGGGGCTCGCGGGTCGTGACCTGGCCGCGGCCCCAGCAGATGGAGCGAGCGCAGCCCACGCACAGTCCGGCTCCGTGCAACGTGCCGCCACTGCCACTGTGGCGCGCACACCCAGCCGGAGGAACAAGGGCCCAGCCCCCGCTAGGAGTTCTCCAGTCAAAGAAGCGGAATTCCTTGCGGGCGGGCCATACATTCAGGCCGCCCAAACGCTGCTTGGGTCTGGAGCAGCAGAGGATGTGATCTACATCCGGGCTTACAGCTTAGATTGCCCATCCTGCATCGAGGCAATCGAAGCGTCGCTTGGCAAGGGCGCAAGCGTTCGGATTGTCGCCGACATGGGACAATGCCACCGCACCAAGCTTCAGTGGCAAGCGCTGAAACGCTTGGCGGCCGCAGGTGCCGAGGTGAAGGTGGGTTGCGGCACATCCTTGCGCGACGCCTATGCTCGCGACGGCCGCGGGGCTAAGGTAGGCACCGGGATTCAAGGGCTGCACCATGCCAAAGCCCTTTGCCTACTGCGGCCTGACGGCGCGGTGGTGCTGATTGGGAGCCTCAATTTTACCACAAGCAGCAAAGCCAATGCGGAGGCAGGGCTTAAGCTTGAGGTCCCCAAGACGCACCCTGTCGCGCAGTCCTACGTCGAGGATTTCCAGAGGGTGTCGGCTGAGGCGTTCTCCCTCGATGAGGCGGTTGCAAGGCGCCCTCAGTTGGAGCGAGCCAGTAGCTCCAACGTTGCTGGCAACGCCACTCGTGCCCCCAACACTGCTCCACAGGGTATCGAGTAGGCTGCGGCCAGTTGGCGCGGCGTGGTATGTATCCACGCATTATCAGAGCAGGCGTCGCAGCACGGCACGTTGCTTCGCCAACCTTTTGCACTTTCTTTTGCGTGACTGCGGGCGAAAAGCCGCGGCAGGTTGGAAGCCTGCCCATTTTGCGTTCCCCGCACTTTTCTTCTCCGCCCTGCCTGTGGCCCCTCTTGTCGAGGGTGCTCTTTTGCAGGTGCTGCGGACCGTGTCCTGGTCGCGGCAGTGCGCTCGCCGAAGCGCGTGCGAGTTGCACTGGCTGCGGCACAAGCGATGTGCGCGGCTCTCGCTGAGTCCGGTAGCCCGTAGGGTAGTTCTGGATAGGTGAGTAGCCGTAGCCGTAGCTTAGGGCCGGTAGTTTGTACAGTGTACCATTTGTACCATAGTCTGCGTACTGGCAGCTAGAGACCAGCTCGAGGATTCAAGAGCCTCGCCCACCAGCAAAAGGGGTGAGGACCTCCAGGGAAAGGGCTGTTTAGGGCTGCTGAGGGTTGCTGTCGTCGTGCGTTCGTTGTGGTGGTGCGGGCTAGCGTCCCTGCCGCATGCCAATGCTCATGATGTGCGGACCACCGCGGTCGCACGCGACACCCTCTCCCTTCCCTTTCTGTGTTCAGCGCGAGTGCCTGCTGCACTCCGAGCTCGAGATGAGCTGGAAGCCTCGGCTGAGGGGCGAATGTGAGCAGGTCTATGCACGCACGCTGCATGTGCAAAGCTGCCAGGGCCAGTACTGTAGTAGTTTTCCTTTGCATGCGTAGTTTTGCAATTCGTAACAATGCCAATGTTTTGGCTCAAGTACCGAGCTTGTGCCTTTGAGCACGGTAGTTTCGTACAGTAGCTCTTAGGTTGCTGTGCGGTCCGACCGGACGCACTCAGGCGTAGCTGCACAAGTGCTTGAACTCGCGAAGTCGTAAAACAGCGTGACCGGGCTGTGATTGCATTGGCTTAGTGCAAGTCCAGTGCTGGTCGACTTCACAATATACATATATGTATATATATATATATGTATATATATATATATATCTATCTATCTATCTATAGATCAGTTGTGCTTAAAGGCGTTGTACACGGATTGTGCCAGGTCCCTTCAGAGGGGATTCATCGGGACTATGCCGGCTGCATAGCGTCTAGGTTGTACGGTGTGCGTAGTGATTCAACTAGCTAACTGGAGCGCACTGGACCGTACATATACACATATGTCTACAGCTATATACATACTTTACATTGTCATTATTTTGATAGCATATATATATATATATACACATAACATATTTCATATGCATCAAGAAACTTTAGGTAAAGAAGCCCAAACGTATAGGCTACCCGTAGCCCTAGCTGTAGGGCCTACGGCTGGCTACGCGTAGGCCTGTCGGTAGAGTCTGCGGCAGCCTACGCGTAGGCCTATCCGTAGGGCTATAGGTAGGCTACCGGCAGGCCTACCGTAGGCCTGCCGGTAGGCTGCCGGTAGGCCTACCCGTAGGCCTATGGGTAGGCGACCGGTAGGCCTACCCGCAGGCCTACGGGTTGGCTGCCGGTAGGCCTATCCGTAGGCCTACGGGTAGGCTACCGGCAGGCCTACCCGTAGGCCTACGGGTAGGCTACCGGTAGGCCTACCCGCAGGCCTACGGGTAGGCGAGCGGCAGCCCTACCCGCAGGCTTATACGTAGTCCAGGCACAGTAGTAGTGATGATCTCGGGGCTGGGGCTCGGGCACAAAAAGGAGGGCCTCAGAGTCCATGCGTGCGTGATTTGTTTTACGGATGCACATGATGTCTCGGGTCGAGAATTTAGGGAGCAGTTTGACGGGTGCTTTCGTCCCACCGAGCCCCAGGACTCGAGAAACGACGAAAGCACCCGTCAAACTGCTCCCTAAATTCTCGACCCGAGACATCATGTGCATCCGTAAAAGAAATCACGCACGCATGGACTCTGAGGCCCTCCTTTTTGTGCCCGAGCCCCAGCCCCGAGATCATCACTACTACTATGCCTCGACTACGTATAAGCCTGCGGGTAGGGCTGCCGCTCGCCTACCCGTAGGCCTGCGGGTAGGCCTACCGGTAGCCTACCCGTAGGCCTACGGGTAGGCCTGCCGGTAGCCTACCCGTAGGCCTACGGATAGGCCTACCGGCAGCCAACCCGTAGGCCTGCGGGTAGGCCTACCGGTCGCCTACCCATAGGCCTACGGGTAGGCCTGCCGGTAGCCTACCTATAGCCCTACGGATAGGCCTGCTTGTAGCCTATCCGTAGGCCTACGGGTAGGCCTACCGGTAGGCTATCCACAGCCCTACTGGTAGGCCTGTCAATAGGCGACTGGTAGGCCTACAGGGAGGCCTACCAGTAGCCCACTCGTAGGCCTACGGATAGGGCTATAGGTAGCCTCGCATAGCCTCTACGTAGGTCTGCACATAGGCTACCCGTAGGCCTAGGGTAGACCTACCCATAGGTCCGACGTAGCCTTAGTTTCGGGCTTCTGTATGAAACTTTACACAATGAATAACAATAAAAGACAAATAACAAGGTAGCAAATGCACAAACAATTATTTTACTTGAAACATCCCCATCCTCTCCGGGTAGAGATACGTACTCTGGGGTTGGGCACTCCAGGATTGGCTAGACACTTTGGCATTGGGCTAGGGACACACTGGGGTTGGGGGACACTCTGGAGTTCACTCCAGAAACAGTCTGGGGTTGGGCACTCTAGGGCACTCTGGGGTTGGGCACTCCAGGAACACTTTCGGGTTGGGTATTCTAGGGACAATTTGGGATTGGGCACTCCAAGGACACTCTGGGGTTGGCCACTCCAAGGACACTCTGGGGTTGGGCACCCATGACCTCCGAAATCATGCCATGGAGCATCTCTGCTGAGTACCCATTTCCTTCATCAGGCAGCTCGATGTTTCGGGTGTGCTTCTGCGAAAGCCCTGCCTTGTGGTGTGGTTGTGGTCAGGGTCTAGGGTTTTTCAGGTGTTGAATTCGGGCCGGATTTTAGGGTTTAGGCCTCAGGGCCTCAGGGTTTTCTAGGGGTTTAGGGGTTAGGGTTTAGGGCTTAGGCCTTCAGGTTTTGCCTGATGCCGAATGCTGCCCAAAGCATGTCTCGTTAGGCGCGTGCGGTACCCTTTTGTCACCCTAAACCCTAATCTAAACCCACTCTGAAACGTTGCGCCTTCGATTTGTCCTGATTCGACATGTCAAAGTCAAGCTGGTTGTCCTTGAGCACCTGCTTTGCAACTTGAGAGCAGGGCGAACGAAAGCTAGGGCGCAGGTGTGAAGACCGCGCTGCTCAGCCCTGAAATGATAAGTAACAATGCTGACCTAAGGGGGGGCGGGGGGGGGGGGTCCTAAGGGGGGGCGGGCCCCCCCCCACCTTATCGGGAACCCCCCCCTGCTTAGGTCCACCAGCCTCCAAGGATTTCTTGTGTGGTCACCCCCAAACGGGGGGGCCCCCCCCCCCCCCCCCCGCAGCTTAAACCTCCGATATATCGGAGATTAAGGCCCCTGAGTGCTGTTTGACCCAAGAACAAAATGGTAAACAAGAACTCCCGCAAGCTCCAAAGGAGCTAGCTTTCGTGATCATTCGTCCGAAATGCCTCTCTGAACCCTCAACCCTAAACCGATGAGAGTGTGTAGTGTCAGTGTTAGGGTTGCGCTAGCTAGGGTTGCGCTAGCTAGGGTTGCTCTACCAGGAATACCACAAAACTTCGCTCCTCAAATGAAGGAACCGGATTTCCGAGGGAGACGATGCCCAGGGCTCAGGATGAAACGGCCGTCCGCTGGGCCTTGGGCCCAGCGAGGCCCTGCAACGCACGCCCTTGATCTTATGACTGGCGCTGCATCTTGAAAGGGCATGTTTCTGGATGGATTCATCCAAGGCCCTTTACCTTAGGCTGTCATGATGACAGCGAGCACAACTGCGAGAGCTGCACCTGCTTGAGGCGCAGCATGGCAAGTAAACGCAGTGTCGTTCGAGGTGTCCGAGCCGTTCGTCACCTTGTAGAAAGATGTGCATGTAGACACGCTCCGCGTTGGTTCGCTCGCAGGGTTTGCCACCTCTTTGTACTTCATCCAGCACCTGGTTCGACCGTGGCACTTTGCAAATCCGGTGCAACCCGGCATGGCATCGCAGTGATGCGCGCATGCACCAGGTGTGCCGTCATTCGGGCTGCTAGAGAGGTCAAAGGTAGAATAGCCAAGGTCGCAGCCTTCGTCCACCCAGACAATGTCATTGCCCAGGCCAACGTATGTTGCCGGAGGCATCGGGGAGCGTGTCTCAGTGTCGTTGACGTCCGTGTCGTTGACGTAGTAGAAAGATGTGCATCCAGACTTGCTCTTCGTTGCTTCACTCGCAGGGTCCGGCACCTCTTTGCTCTTCAGCCAGCATGTGATCGGCGGACCGTCGCAGATCGCAAATCCGTTGCACTGCTCCGTCGCATCGCAGAAGTTCGCGCATGCCCCACCGGTGCCATGGTCCCCAGGGTGAGTGTACTGTTCGAAAAGAACCCTCCCGAGGTCGCTCCCCTCCTCCACCCAGACAGTGCCCTTGCCCAAGGAGCTGTAGCCCGCCTCCGCCACGAAGGCCACGACCAAAGCCAGCCATCCCCAAGGTGCTCTTACCATGGCCATCTGACCCTAGCACTGGCCCCTTCAGGACCTAGTTAGCCTCAAGATTGCTGACTTAGGGGTTTCGGGGTTTAGGAGTGTTGGGCTTAGAGTTGGGCGAGGGACCATGGCACCTGAGAATCCCACCCAAGCAGAAGCTGGAAGCCGAAGGGGGCTCAATGAATCAGGGCGTCGCAACGTGTCATCTCGACGCCCATTCCCCGTCATTTTTCTTGCCGTTTGGTGAGGGCTGGCCTCACTCATATACATGTGCAGTTTATGCATTCTTTTGGTGTCAAGCGATACTGGGACTGTTAGGGCTGTTTGGGGTGTGTATGGTGCCGAGACTTTTGCCTAGCCTGGGAGATAGAGGGAGCGGAAGGATTGCAAGCAGGCTTTTACACGACTCCTGCCTTGCGGACTTCATCTGTTTTTAGCCAAACACCCCTGGGCTTCCTCTCCTTCTGAACGCTGCCGCTCCCAGATTCGCTGTAGGCTGTGATTCTCTGGAGTCGACTCTCCTATCCACCCTAAACCCTAAACCCTAAACCCCAAACCCTAAACCCTAAGACCTTAAGGTGGCGCCCCATAGAAAGACAAAACGAACGACCCGGCGCCTGGGCCGCCTGGGTATCCTCCTGAATTTGCCCACGCCCAACTTGGGCATCGGGCCTCCTGCCGCAGCCCCGTGATCATAGAACTGATGGGGTTTAGGGTTTAGGGTTTAGGTTTAGGGTTGAGGGTTTAAGGGTTTAAGGTTTAGGGTTTAGGGTTTAGGGTTTAGGGTTTAGGGTTTAGGGTTGAGGGTGGTGTTTCCGTCTGTAACTTGAGCGATGTGAGCAGCCAAGTGCTGAGACAGCCTAAGTGCCACTTCCTACGACTTCAAGGACGACGACTACGACGACTTCTGTTCCTAGCACCGTATTCTTCAGTATTCTTCTATATTCGGCCTTCACCACCTTCGCCTGGATGCCACCAAGGTGTGAAGTCGTGGGATACTCATGGCCTAAGCCACAACCCAACAAAACCCTGAAACCACGTGAGTCCGGATTGTCCGAATTTCTCCTCTGGATACGCAAATGTTCTAAGTAAGAAGACGGCTGGAAGGACGCCCTGCCCAAATCAACCTGGGCATGCACAACTTGCAAATTTGAGGAGGTCAACATGAAGTCCATTTGCACACGTTCTCCGTCCATCGGTCGGCGGCATGTCCAACTGTCTGCGCCAAATATCGGGTCAGCGAAGCGGTGTGAAAAAAAAATTGAAGCCCGTATGAGAGCGCCCATAACGCGAGAGTAATTCCACGAATAACCCGAGGCGAATAAGCATGAAAGGAAATGTTGCGTACGCATGTCTGCCATGTCTTAGACATGCAGATGCCAACACCTGCACTGTATAGTAGATGATACTGCCCGTTAAAAGGCAAGCGCTTCTCACGAAGACATGGTTTCAAAGGGTGGCGCCCCAAGCTGGATTCTCAAGACGCTCCGGCCCAGTACCATGAAAAATTGGATGCAAAAATCCGACATGACGGAGTTTTTTCTTTTGATGCGGCTGGACGCACGTTGATAGATGCTGCATGCAAAACAGGTTGTGCAAGTTCATCTTCTGTTAAATTTCGTGATTCCGCTCGGCTCCGGCAAATGCGACACTGTCGACGCATGTCCACTGACGCCGGTGAAACACGACGTTTGAGCTTCGCTATTCGCAAACTTCACCGACAAGAGGTTCCAGCTTGGAGATCTCGCCGTTGTGACCGCTTCCTGCGAAACAGAAGTGATTGGAAGAAGCTGCGCAACATCAAACATCTCGCCACGACATCGCCTGAGCAACCTTTTGCAAATGATTTTGCGGACATGTTGGAGTCTTTGTTCAGAAGCACCCCTGTTGCCCCCACTACACCAGAGCTGTTGGATGAAGTTCCGTTTTCGCTTGACGAACTGCAGCATGCGATCTAGCGCATGAACGTCAACAAGGTTAGCGATGAAGCTGGAGTGGTCGCAGAGCTGATACGGTTCAGCTCTGATGATTTCAGGTATTGCCTTCTTCAGTTGACCAATCACGACAATCGGGAGATGTGCCTTCCACATGGAACCATACCCTATTTTTTTGTTTTTTTCCCTCGCACCTTTTTCCGCACGCAAGGTCGATGCCGTCCGTCGTAGGGGGGCTAGGGGTGAAGGGCCGGCTCACCGCATCCCCAACCTACTGGGTGGCGCTTCTGGGGCCTGCGCCAGGATGTCCGCCAGCGGGACAGGGGCCTCAGCCGTCGGGAGGGCAGGCATCGTCCACCTTCCCAAGACGGCGCTGCAGACGGCGCGTTGCACGGCCACTGCGAGGACGCCCCACCACCGGCTGGCCCAGCCTTGCGCGGCGGCTCCCCGGACCGCGGGCGGCGCACGCGCGGCACGCAACCGGACGAACCGTCGCAGGAGGGACTCGCCATCCGCGCTCCACCGCCCTCCGACTTCAGTCGCGAGGACGCACAAGCGCTGGGCCCCTCCGCGGTCCAGCTCGCGGTAGCGGGCTTGTTTGCGCCGCCGTGCTGCCACCAGGGCGACGCCATCGTCCGGCGCTCCGCTTATGGGGCTGCCATCTCGCCGCAGGGGCGAAACCAAGGTGGCGTCGCAGCACAGGGCCTCGCCCCTCGGGGACGCGCCGTAGATGACAAGGTCAAGCCTTCGGCGGTCGTCCGCTGCGACCCCCGGCGCCGTGGTGTGGGCGAGCCACTGTTGGGGGACGACGCGTCCTTCGGGGCCGACGGCCTCCCGCGCGACCTGGACCCACGCCTGCTCGAGCACGAAGCCTCGGCGAGCGAGCAGGCCGGTGCGCGGGCAGGCCGTGAAGTGGTCGCCCAGCGCGTCAGCCGGCCCGGCATCCGTGCATTCCTCCTCCACCACAAGAGGCCCTCGTGATGGGGAGAGGAAGGCGAAGCCTGCGCCGCAGGGCTAGGTGCATGAGGTCGGGCGCCAGCGTGGTGGCGGGCCCCACAGGCATGGCCACGAGCCAGGCACCTGCGTGCGGACCAGCTTGCGAGCGCAGCATTGCCCGTGTGCTCGGGTCCACTGCCGGCAGCAGAACGCGCTCTCGGAAAGAATCGGGAAAAAGTGTGAAGTGCGAGAGCTGCATGCTGCTGCCAGCCGTGTCCCCAAACGCCGGGCTCCGCCGCTGCAGAGGGTGCTGCCGGCTGGAGGCAGTCTTCCCAGGACGGGCACGCCGCCCAGCCGGCCGCCCGCAGGTGCGCCGCCGCCTCTGCAGCTGCCCGTATGCTGGGCGCCTCCGCCGCGGCCCCGGCTTGCAACTCTCGCAGGCGCCGCTCCATCGCAGGCCGGCACCGCTGTTGCAGGACGGGCAGCGCGTCCGCCCACGCTGCCCAGTAGGCAGCTGGCGACAGGCGCCCCGCAGGCGCCAGGCCGAGGCCACCGAGCGATCCTGGCAAGAACGCTATGTCCCGCGCGACTTGCCACGCATCGGACCCTATTTTCCATGTTGCCGAAGTCGTCACGGGCAAAAAGCACCACAGATTACCGTCCGATTGCAAACGTTCGTGTTCTTTACAAATTGTTCGCTTACATGGTGTTATCAAGGATTGAAGACAGGTTGGACTCCGCACAGCCTGAAGAACAGCATGGTTTTAGAAAACACCGCCGTGTTGAGGAGCATCTCCTAACGGCGAAATATGTGGTAGAAAAAAACTGAAGCAGCAAACCTGCCAGTTTGGATTGTCAGGCCTTGACCTATCAAAGGCGTTCGACCGGGTGAACTGGGACATGTTATGGGAAGCACTGTCTGAACAGGGAGTTTCAACTCACTTGTGCTGGATTATTCAATGCCTATATTGTGACCGAGAAGGAGTGGTGACCGGAAAATTTGACCACAGCAGAGCCTTCAGTATTCGCGCTGGCGTTCGCCAAGGATGCGTGTTGAGCCCCATGCTATGTAGCTGCGTCCTCCAACATGCGATGCGCAAATGGCGGAACAAAGAATCCAACTGCAGGTTGGGATCTGTATGATGGGTTTGACAAATTGCTCGACCTCCGCTTCACAAATGATATTTTATTGTTGTTGGAAAAGTCGGTACATGATGCTATGGTTTTGTTGCAAAGTTTGATGCGTGAACTCCGACAAGCTGGATTGCTATTGAATGCAAGCAAAACCAAGGTATTGACGACGGAGGCGCAGCCACCTTCACGCTTGTTCATTCCTGGGACGGAGCTTTGGAAAAAACAAACGCAACTCTCGGGGGCGGTTACACTAATGGGGGTTTTGAACGCCCTGCTGTT